GAGGTGCTAGGCGCAGTGCTGGGCGGAGCCTGAGTTCCCTCTTACTCCACAAGGAGCACTGTGTGGAGGCCACAGACCCAGGTTTCCCCCTCTCCTTCAACCTTCGAGCCTCCTTTTCTTCATCTGCGGAATGGGAGCAAAATGCCTGACTGCGGGACGGAGGGTCTCAGAGAGATCAGACACACGGCAGGGTTAGGCTTCCGGCTCTGTGCGTACCAGTAGTAGGTGCTGAACAGATGGAGGTGAATTTTCATTCACTAGTGGTGACAGGTGCCTTTCTTCCTCAGGCCTTGGGTCTCTTTCATCCTCCCACAGATAGTGAGCGCACACCTACTATGTGTTGGGACTCAGTGTGTGCAGCTACTATGTGTGGGGACTCGTGTGATGAACAAGATGTGTTTTCTGCTTCGTGGCACTTGTTTTCTGGGGGGGAGGGGGACAGATTATAGACAAGGAAACAAACACATCTGTAATTATGAATCGTAGTCAGGTCTGTAAAGGAAGAGAGATGGGTGTGTGTGTGTGTGAGTGTGCATGTGCGTGTGTTTGTGCGTGTGTGTGTGTGTGTGCGCGCACGAGTGTGTGTGAGTGTGTGTAACTTAGGGAGTTGGGAGGGGGGCTCTCTGAGGTGGTGACATCTAAGGCAGAACCAGAAGGATGGGAAGGACCCCACTCACAGCTGGGCTCAGAGCCTCTCAGGCAGAGGGACCAGCATGTACAGAGGGACCAGCATGTGCAAAGCCGTGAGGAAGAGTGGAGCTGGGTGTCCATTTACTGCGAGGAGCTCCCCTTTACGTGTGGCTTTGGGTCCTGGACGAGGAGGGTGGGGATCGAATGACCGTGGAGAGGAGAGCAGGGCCGGGTCATGTGGGGAGCTCCCACCTGGGCCGGCTGCTGGCTGGCGTGGTAGACCCTCCTGTTCTGGGGTGGGGGAGGCGGGGCTCCAAGGACACATCCTTGTTGTTGGCGTTGTGCCCAGTGACTTTGAGAGTTCAGAAAATGCTGGTGGGGGCTGACGAATGCCACGCTCTGGCCCTGGCCTGGGCCTGGAACACTCCCTTCCTGGCCGCAGCCCCAGCTCCCCTTCACAGGCCTTGCAGCCAGACCGCCCTGCTGCCCTGGCCTTGGGCAGATCGTCCCCTTTTCCGTGCCGTAGTGTCTCCATCTGTGAAATGGGGGTAATCACAGTGCCTACCCCGGACATTTTTCCATTAGGATCCAGTGAGTCAGGGAGGGGGCTCAGGACAGCAGCTGGCGCATAGCCGCGCTCCTTAAAGTGCTGTCACTGCTGTGGCGAACAGCTCCGTGGGAAGCAGTGTTTGCAGGAGGGTCAGCACAGGGGCAGCGAGGGGAGGGCATGTCTCTCCTGGGAGCCGGACTGCTGGCTTTGCATCGGGGCTCCTCTGGGGGACAGTTGGCCCACTTCCCTGTGCCCAGTCTCCTCACCCGCACACGGGGTGCCCAGGGCCGCCGTGGGAATGGGAGAGTTACTTTATGCGACGTGTGCAGTACAGAGCGGGCCTGTCACAGTGAGATGAGTGCAGTGGCTGTGCTGCGGTCTTTAAAAAAAAAAAAAAAAAAAAAAAAAAAAAAATATATATATATATATATATATATATATATATATATATATATATATATATTTTATTGACTTTTTACAGAGAGGAAGGGAGAGAGATAGAGTTAGAAACATCCATGATGAGAGAATCATCGATCAGCTGCCTCTTGCACAGCCCCTACTGGGGATGTGCCAGCAACCAGGGTACATGCCCTTGACGGGAATCGAACCTGGGACCTTTCAGTCCGCAGGCTGATGCTCTATTCAGTGAGCCACACCGGTTTCACTGCTGTGGTCTTCTCATTAGATCCTTCAGAGCTGGAAGACTGAGCACCAAACGCGCTCAGCCCGCAGCGTGTAGGGGGCTTTCGGAGGTACCCAGGGAGGAGGCTCCCCTGAGGCTGACTTCCTGGGTCCGAGCCCTGCACCGCGATGCTGCCAGCCTGGGACTGGGCAGGTGGCAGGGGTGGCACCGAGAGTCCCTGCAGACCCCCGGAGTCAGCCCCCTCTGCAGAGGGAGGACCCTTGCTTGGGTCCCCACGGGGCAGGGGGGTGGCCATGGCTGACACCAGGAGTGCGGGACCTTCGGGCACAGGCCTCTGAGTGGCAGGGGGCCTTGGCTCTGCCTGGCACATTCCAGGTTCCTGAGCGGGTGGCCAGGGGCCAGGGTGCCGGAGGGAAGGAGAGAGCCTTTTAAGGAAACATTTCTCTGCTTAAAAAATGGGAGAGGGGGGGGGGGTGAGGGGGAGAGAGAGAGAAACAGGGAAACACACAACAAGGTTAGTGGTCTGGCCAGCAGGCCGGCTGGCATGCACAGCTGTGGGCAGGGGGGGAGGAGGGTGTGGGGGCACCCAGGCATCAGGCCCTCTCGCTGGGGGCCCACTGCCGCACCTCAGACCTGAGTCCTTAAGGGGTGACTCTGTGAGGGGCTGTCCCTGCCTCTGGGGGATGGACAGACACGGGTCCCTTCTCTGCACGGCCTCTGGGTGGTGCTGGGAGAGAGACCCTCCTGCTGTTCTCTGAGGATGCTGCCCGGGCTGCCCCTGCCCAAAATGTATGTGTAACCCCTCCCTTCCCCAGCCCCAGTCACAAACGGAGAGTGGAACCCACCCTTATGTGAGGAAGAAAGGACCAGAGGGCACCGTCCAGGGGGAACAGCAGGAATGGGGAGAAGCCCTGGGGCCGGCCTCTTCAGGGGAACCCACCAGCTCCAGACTGGGGTTCAGGGCAGCAGGTGGGCGGAGAGAGGGAGGAGGCCCCTGCCAGATGCAGACTCCTGCCCGGACCCTGGCCGGCAGGGCAGTGCCACCTGGCTGAGGCATTGTCTGGTGGGCAAGATGGGCAGGAAGCCTGCGGGCCACAGTTGCCTCTGGGACCATCCCTTCCTGGTCTGTTCTCCTAGCACCCTCCCCCCTCCCCCTGATCAGCAGTGTGGCTTTGAGTAAATCTTTAACTTCTCTGCGCCCCCTGCTCCTCAGCCAGAGGTATAACAGGAGCTTTACGTGGGCAGAGCGCAGCTATTAACGCCTGCCCTATGGCACATATTCAGTGCGTGTTAGAGATTGTCTCTGTGTTTGACTTTGTATGTGGTTTTCCCGCCAGTCCTAGGATAAAGTTGTGTCAGATCAGTGTTTCCCAAAGTGTGGTACGCGTACCCCCAGGGGTACGGGAAGAGTTTGGTGGGGGTACGCGTTGCACCGGAGTTCGGTGGGGATATGCACTGCACCGTGCTTAGCTGCGCCCAATTCTACCTTCTCATGAGTACGAGGGGTACTCAGCGTTACGAAAATTATAGAAGGTGTACACATATGTCAAAAGTTTGGGAAACACTGGACAGGGTGATGGACCTTTGCTGGAGAATGGGTGGGGAGGGGGGGAGCAGGTGGGCGGGGAGCAGGTGGGAGAGACAGGGAGCCTGTAGCATGGCTGAGTCAAGAAGCAGAGATGCTTTCAGCCACTCTGGCCTCCTGGAGTTCAGGGCACGAGTCACGTGGGTGTTGTCCCCTCCTGACCTGGGGAGTCAAGTTGGGGTGTCAAGCTGGTCGGACGGCAGAAGGAGTTGGATGGAGGGAGGGCCTGGCTGAGGGGGGCCCCTGTGAATAGCCAGCCCCAGGGAGGGCTGTGGGCTGTCTCCGTTTCTACTCCACGGGTGGTGACTGGGTGGGAGTGGAGGCAGCCACCCCCTTTATGGCCATCCGCAGCTTGTGACCAGACCCCCTCATGCCCCAGGGAGAGCCTCCCGCTTCGCTCCCTCTGCGGGCCCCCGGCCTGGTGCTCGGGTCAGGAATCGGAGCCAAGATCGAGGTACGAGCTCCAAGAAAAACGTGTCCCGGCTAGAAAAAAGGAACACATTGAGTCTCTGATAAAGGCCCTGCTAATTGTCAGGGTAGAGGCTTGGCTGCCCGGCCTGGCGGAGGGATGTTATCTTAGGGTAGGAGCGAGCCCGCCCTCCCTCCCCCCACCCTCTCCCTCTGTCTGGAGGCCGGAGTTGCCACCTGCCCGCCCCCCCTCCCCCCAGGTCATCAGAGAGGAAGAGGAGGAGGATGATACAGTAAGAGTTCACCCACAGAGGGTGCTTTCCGCTCTCCGGGCCTCTGTGTTTGTGAGGGACGGGGTGGCTTTCTCGGGGAGAGCTGGCAGGGCCCGTCACCCACCTGTTGTTGCCCACGTGCTTTGGGGAATTGTCCGCTGTGTGCCCTCTGACCTGTGGGCGAGACTCCTCGGCCTTGGGGAGCACAAAGAGGTGACACTTCCTTTTCTAGAGACCTTACATACGTTTTATTTATTTATTAAAATTAAAAAAAAATACAGTTTATTGAGTTTTTACAGAGAGAAAGAAAGAGGGATAGAGAGATAGAAACATCGATGAGAGAATCATCCATCAACTGCCTCTTGCACACCCCCTCCTGGGGATGTGCCCGCAACCAAGGTACATGCCCTTGACCGGGAATCGAACCCAGGACCTTTTAGTCCACAGGCCGATGCTCTATCCACTGAGCCAAACCGGTTTTGGCTTAAATACGTTTTAAAAAAAAATTCCAAACACATCTTACCATATTGCAGAAAGTTTAGAAAGCAGCACAAAGAAAATAAATCCTTATTTTTCTTGCCATTGAATCCCGTGATGAAAACTCTGGTGTGTTGACCTTCAGTCTCTCAGCATCTGCATATTTCTGCAGCTTTTGAAAACAGAGACGTGCGTTTCATTCTTACCTTCCGCAGCCCCCCTCCCCACCAGCGGTGCTGCCTGAGTATTTTTCCATGCTGCCGCGCGATCTCCCAACGGGCTCTCAGACTGCAGGGGCTCCGTGTGTGCGCGCTGAGGGAAGGGGCGTCGTGCACGGAGGCAGGTGGCGGTGGAATGATCTCAGGAGGCCCCCCTCCCCCAGCTCTCCATAGGAATGAGAGACGCTAACCTTGCCTTTCTCTGTTCCTCCCACAGGTGGCTGCCCCCTGCATTCCTCCATCCAACCATGAACTGGTGGTGAGTGACAGTCCGCTCCCTACCCCGCCAGCCCCTCCTCCCCTCTGTCCTCTGCTCCCAGCTGCCGCTTACTTCAGCCCCGAGCACGCTGGCAGCCCCCAAGGGTGCCGGCTAATTAGGTAAGGGAACGGAGGCCGGGCCGGGAGGAAATGAGTCATGAGGTCCCTTCTGATGGGATGCAGGGCCTCCTGCTTCAATCTGGAGACCGAAGTCCTTGGAAAAAAACCATAAAAGGGCATCTCGCCCGTCTGCAGGCCTGGCCAGGTGCCTGTTGTCCTGGAGCTTCCAGAACCAGGGGCTGGCATCTCCTCCCGCCCGCTTGGTCCTGGGTCAGGTACCCTCCAGCGGGAGGCAGGGGAGGGCGGCGTGACCCACGGAATCCACCTGCCTGGGCAGCTGCTCTCGTTCAGGTGGCCTGTCCCGCCTCCACGCTGCTTGTCTGATTCTACTTTTCTGCTCCTGGGAGTCCTCTCTTCCCCCGCAGTGGGAAAAGCACGGACAGGACAGGGCTCCCGTGAGTTGTGGCCTGATCCCAGCTGGGCTGATCTGAAATGTTTGGAGCTTTCCCTCCTGCCCTCTCTCTGCCTTCTTACCCGTCAGAGGCCCCTCCTGCACCTCACCCGCTGCTGGAGGTGGGCGGGGCCTAGAGGCTCCAGGAGAGGAGCCTGCATGCCTGCAGGTGTGTGCTTGTGCATGTGTATATGTGTGCGTGTGTGCACGCGTGCATGCTTATGTGTATAGAGGAGAGTCATGGAGGGGCCCTGTGGTCACAGTTTGACCCACTGGCAAGTGACGACACGGATGTGGGTGGGGACCTGGGGAGGGACCAGGTGTCAGGGGGCCCGGCAGTGACAGGTGTCTGCACACCTGTGCCATGACCTGCTCTGCCTGGATGCTGGCATCTCAGCCAGGCCACCTGGTCTCCTGCCCTCTTTCTGGACATCAGTCTCCCTTTCTGCCACACAGATGGCTGATCTAGATGCCTGAGAGGCCATCTCCGTGCTGATAAGTCTTCTCTCCATCCAGGCTGTTAATGGAATGGAGTTAAAGTCTTGTGCGTGCTGGTGGCTCTTAGACGCCTCCTGGGCCCAGCCCAGTGCCACCGCGCTCTGCACAGGGGCCCTGCCCTGCCGAGTGAGCCCCTTCTCTGCAGCGGCCCCTCCTCCCTCTGGGCCTCTGCTCTGCCCTGCTGGGCCGCTCCAGAAGTGGGGTGTTATTGCTTCAGCAGAGCCCAGCTGAAGGTCATCTGACCACAGCGGCGGGTGTAGGTAGGGGGGCGGGCCGGTGCTGCAGGGGTGAGGCCAGGGTGCAGGCCTGGTGTGGAGCTGCCAGGGAGAAGTCTCTCTGGGATTTCAGAGAGACACTGGAGGGCGGGCAGGAGGGGTGAGGCGGGGTGAGCAGACCTCTCATCATTCCAACCCAGCTGCCACTCTGCCCCGGAGAACAGGATGTCCTTGGCTGGTCTCGGGCGGCGGGGGGTCTGGGTTTGGGGCTCTCCGGGCAGAAGCCAGAGGCCTGGCCACCAGGAGAGAGCTTGGTTTATGAGAGGAAGGGGCAGGGGTTGGGACAGGAGGGAATGGTTGGCGTTCCAGCCTGGAGGCTGCGGTCAGCTCCAGGAGGACCTTCTCCTCTCTGTGATGTGCCCCACCTGTGCCCAGGCTCTGCCCTTCTCGGAGGCTGGTCAGCCACCTGGTGGGGAAGGGGCTGTGACGCCAGATTGTGCTTCCAGAGGTTCCCCCACGGGAGTCAGAACCGCCCCCCAACAGTGGTCACGAGCAGGGGAGTTTGTCCCCCCCCTGTGGATCCCAGCTTCCCCTGTGGCCTTGGACACATTGCTTAACCTGTCGTGACCTCAGTTTTCCCTCTGCAGATTGGGAGTTGGAATACTTGCCTTGTAAGGTTAAGAGAGTAGGAGGAGCAGTTAACCCGTTGAGTTAATATGTATTCAGGAGCCTCCAATGGCTGCCCCCTTGGCTGGGAGTGACAGTCCCAGGCTCTCTCAGTGGCTGGCACAGCCCTCCAGGAGAGTTTCCTCCCGGACCTCACCTCCCCCTCGCTCACTCCAGCCCTAGCCCTTCTCCTGGGTCACGATGCTGCCTCAGGGCCTTTGCATCTGCTCTTCCTTCTGCCTGGAATGCCCCCCTCCCCATACCTTCAGGGCTCTTTCCTCCCTCAGGTACTATTCAAGTGTCAGCATTTTCTTTCCCTCCACAACCTTATCTCCCTTCCGGGCTCTCTCTGCCTCCCAGCTTCACCATCTGATAAGTCTTGTTTGCTTATCTGGTTTAAGAGGCTCCCTCTACCCCCACCCGAATGTCAATCCCATGAGCCGGGATTTTTCCCTGTGGTGTTCAGTGCTGTGTCTGGCACACATAGGCACTCAGTGCAGGTTTACTGAGTGACAGAGAGACAGGCGGTCAGTGGAATGCCTGGGAGATGAGGTGCTAATAAACAGGACTGTGTGGCGGGGGGCCTGGCTGGAAGCTCAGTGCCCTCGGTCCAGGGAGTGAGAAAGTGGCCCCGGGGGAAAAGGGAGAAAGTCGGGCTCACCCCAGAGAGAGCACTTAGCACCTGTTTCCTCACAGCGGGCGGGCGAGGCAAGTGCTCTGAGCGGGTTCAAAGAGGGAGGAAAGGGCGGGCTGTATTTTTCCTTCCTTTTCCATTCTCCGCCTGCCCTTCAGCCTCCGCAGGGCTGGACTCAGGCCCCCCTGCCCTTTCCCTCTTGCCTCACACTGGGTGACTGTCTGTCCATCATATGTTCTCTATGTCCCCAGCTCACCCACTTTGCTTGAATCCTTACCCCCCCCTCGCCCCCCCCCCCCCAATCAGGACCATCATGCCTGGACACAGGCTGCAGCCCAGCCTCAGGGCTCTGCCAGCCAAACACTCTTTCTGGCCTGTGCCAGGCCAGCCAGGGCAAAGTGGCTTAATCTTCAACCAGTGTTTTCATCTTACTCAATAGACGAAAGGCCTTTGGGAGAAGGGTCCCATGGTCACGTCCCTCCCGGGGTCCGTGGGGGAGGGGGTGGGGGGGATGGAGAGGGAGAGCCCTTGTTTGCTGTGGACACTCCTGATCCTCGGAAAGAGCTGAAGCAGCTTTTCTCAGCTTCTGAAAAACAAGAGCCAGAAGGAATTTCCCGAGGGAGATAGCCAAGCGAGTGGCCACCAAAGCCGGCCGGATGCTGAGCCCTCTGCACATGCAGCCTGGTGCCCAAGGGACCTGGACTGGGGGGGCCGGGCCAGCCCCGCGGAGGGGGCTTGTGATATCCTTGTGCATTGGAGGGTGGGGCGGGGTGTCTGATGGAGGAGTAATCCCTTACTCAGTTTGAACTTCAAGCCCTGGTGAATTCCATCTGAGGGCACTGAGGGTCCTGGGTGGCCACTTTTGGGAGATTCTTAAAAACGAAGCAAGGCCAGGAGAGAGGAGTCTGAGAAAGCCTTTAGAGAAGAGGGCAGTTGTGAGCAATGCCTTCCAGAGGATTCCCAGAGTGGTGGTGGTGGTGGTGGTGGTGGTGGTGGGGATGGGGGTGGTGGGGGTGGGGGTGGGGGTGGGGGGGTGGGGTGGACATCCCAGTTTGTGCAATAGCTAGAGTGGCTTCCTCTGGAGAGGGAAAATATGGGGGTGGAGGGGGTGCAGAATGGGAATGAGGACGTGCTGAAGGGCAGATTTGCTTATTTTCTGTTGCTCTCCAAAGCCGAGCCTAGTAGGTAGAGCTTCCCATAAAGAGGAGGGGACTTGGGTTAAAGAATCAGCAGCTGATCGGTGTTTCTCTCTCATCGATGTTTCTAACTCTCTCTTCTTCTCTGTAAAAAATCAATAAAATATATTAAAAAAAGAAAAAAAAGAAATGCTCTCTAACACCTAAAATGGCACAGTGGGGGACCATCATGGGGTTTGCTGTCACGGGGACACATGCTCACTGACACCTGTTAGGGGGAAGGCAGCTGCTGATGGGAGGGTGTCCTCCTGGGAGTCTTGGGCAGAAATGCTCAGGGCCCACTGAGGTCCTGCCCTCACACTGGGCTCTGAAGGGACATGGTTTCTGGAGGTCAAGGCATCCATGAATGTGCTGACCACTTGCCCTATGACCCCCACTGGGAGAGGCCCCGGTCTGATGAAGCGTCCTGCCCTGGGGCCATGCTGGGGGGGGGTGGGGAAGAGAGAGAGAGAACTATATTATGGAAACAGTTAGTGCTCAACCGGGGGTTCTGACCAGAGGTGGCCTTTAGGGTGCAGGGCAGGAAGTGACCAGTGTGTGCTGCTATGGTTGAGGAAGTCATATACTGAGTCCAACGTAAGACTTCAGCGATGGAAGAGAGGAGAGAAGAAGGAGAGAGGGCCTTCTGATCAGAAGGTGGCAGGGCTGAGGCAGAGCAGGGGCGGGGCCTTGGTACCAATGACCAAGACCGATGGGGCTAACCCAGTGTCCTTGCTGGGGAGACGGGCGGGCCAGGCCATGCCATCTTACCTTGGTGGCCCTGGCTGGGACGCTGGCGGGAACAGCCTGAGTGGGAACAAGCATGGCATTCATGGTGAGCAGAGAGGAGGTGTGAGCAGAGAGAAAGGAGAGAGGGGACAGCTGTGGGATCCTCCCGAGGAGGAAGGGGCCACATGAGGGAGGAGTCCAGAAGTCCTATTGGGGAACTTGAACTCGATGAGCTCAGCACTCAGAGCCCTGTGGGTCCTTGAGTGGGGAAATGAACCCAGGCAGAGCTGAGAGCCGGGAGTCAGCTGCCAGCTGTGGGGTGTGGCTCGGCGGTGGCGGTGAGGGGGCTGCCAGGAGGAGGGCTGGGGGCGTCAGATGAGGCTGGGACAGGTGCTCCGCGTGGGCACAGGCGCCCAGAGGGGCCTGGAGGAAGGGCCTTCAGAAGCACAGGCTCCCAGGTCCCTGGCTGACAGGTAGAAGGGCATCTAGCGGGGAGGCTGGCAGGAGGCGGCGAGAACTATTCCGGCCTGGCCGGGCCGCCTGGCGAGCGTGTGTGAACCTGGCGGCGTGTGT